TAGATGCTGCATTATTAATCCGTGCTGAAGATAGTTCCATGTAAGTAATGTCCATAAAACAATGAAGTCAATGAGTAAATAACACATCATTACTCTTCCATCTTTGGGCTATAATCTTCTTTGCTGCTGTGAGACCTGCCAGCCAGATTTTACGTGTCCTTTTCTGAAGAGATATTTGTGACTCATGGTCCAAAATATGTACTGCTGGAACCATGGGTAGACTAAGTAGTTCACCACTTTCCCCCAAAGTTCCTGAATATGCAGGATTTATGTGTTAATGTTAATGTTAATGTGTGAATGAAACAAAACACAACTTCAGGTGTGTTTATGATGAGAAAACAATATTATAATATAGATCAGTAAATCTCTTAATATGGGCTCTTTAAGTAATATGCAATAGATTTAATAGTGTCAACATTTCATTTTATATAGTGTATCTAAGTAATTTGTACTATCCACTGCTAGTATGTATGATTACAAAAACGATTGTGCACGAGTGGTTTTGCAAATTACAACAGTCCAAAATGAATTGCATTTCATTTAAGCAATGTATTCTATTGATTATTACAATATTGCATTTTCTATGTCATGTTATTATCAGAATTACCAGACATGTGTGGCATATTGAATCAAATGGGCCTTGGTTTTCCCATTAACTCCTTGATGCATGTCTGTTTAGCGTCGACTCCTCACTCACTGTCAATAAATTCACTTGTAAAGAGTGGATAGTATTGGCAGATTACAGTAACACGATTATATGCAAATGTTGCCTTCGGCGTTAAATTTACAACCATCATGCTAATGTAACACTACTGTTTGTTCTCGTATCGGCCTGAGGTTTGGTCTGGACGCGCGATGTGGTTCTTATGGGAAGCATTTTATGAAGGGCGATTGGCTTTACACCTGTTTCACACCATCCCCGTGTTACAGTAAACTATTAAAATAAGGTTAGTTTGTGGTTTTCAGCTTTAGATTAGGGACCAAAAGTGGATCACATGAGGTTGAAAATAAATTACGTGTTTACCCTAACCTTCTTTCAAATCTAAATAGGTATATTTTATTTGAAAAGTGAAACAGACTTATACAAAAAAAATCCTGATTGACATTTTGACATTTTCAAGTTTATAGTCAACTTTTCTGGTAATTTAGCTATATGAGACAAAACAGATTCAAAAAAGAAAAAACAAACAAACAACAACAACAAAAAAAAAACGTACCACCACCAATATCAGCTCTACAGGCTTCAACATGTGTAATGCTATAGTGTGGAACATTCCAGGCAACGTGATAACAACTCCGTGGAGACAAGTTGGCAGCTTGTATCCTCATTTGGAAAAGTGCACACAGAGGACAAGAGAAAAGGAGGAAGGAACAGAAAGGTGGAGAGAAAGATAGATGTGGAGAAGAGGAGCAAGTGACGAGGGAGAAGGAGAAGTGTAATGTTGAAAAGAGGGATAAAGAGCAAAAGAGAGAAGAGTAGAGAGCAGGGGAGAAGAAAGATGAGAAGATGTGGAGAGAGACGGGAGGGAAGAGAGGAGTGGAGAGGAGGAGAGAGAACCAAGAGGGTGAGAGGTGTAGTGGAGAAAAGAGGAAGCAAGGAGAGCAAGAAAGGGGAGGAGAGAGGAGCAGAGAAAGAAGAGAGGGGGAGAGAAGGAGAGAAGAAGAGGAGGAGAGACAAGGAGAAAGGAGGTGATGAGAGAGGAGCAGAGGAAAGGAGAGAAGGAAGAGAGATGGAGAGCGGGGCAGATAAATGGAGAGAGGAGGAGAAGAGGTTTGAGGAGCAGAGGAAGGGACAGAAGGAAGAAAGAAGGAGAAATATAGAGAGAGGAGGTAGTGAAGAGAGGAAGAGAGAGATGAGAGAAAGGAGGAGAGAGACTGAAAGAGGAGAGGAGAGTAGGAGAAGAGGAGAGCGGAGCAGAGGAAGGAGAGAAAGGGGGGAAGGATGGAGAGAGGAGGTAGTGAAGAGAGGAGTAGAGAGTTGGAGAGTAGAAGAAGAGGAGAGAGGAGCAAAGGAAGGGAGAGAAGGAGGAGAGAGGAGGAGAGAGATGGAAAGAGAGGAGGAGAGTAGGAGAAGAGGATACAGGAGCAGAGGAAGGGAGAGAAGGAGTAGAGAGGGGGGAAAGATGGAGAGAGGAGGTAGTGGAGAGAGGAGCAGAGGAAGGGAGAGAAGGAGGAGAGAGGAGGAGAGATTGAGAGAAGAGGAGAGGTACAGTATCTGATGCTCAAGGATTAGAGCGGTTAAGCCTTTTCCTTTCCAGCTGCTGTGTCTCTCTTGGTCATGTGACCGCTCTGGGGATGTCCCGGGGTCAAAAGGTCACTGACACTCCCGCCCTCATGCAGCACCCGCCGTTCTGAGGTCAACAAAATCATGAACTGTCAAAAATAATAAAACCGATTGATTTGTATGCAGCAATAATCACCATGACGACGCATATATGAAATTTGTCACGGTTCATAAAACGTGTAACGCCACAAACTGCTGCATATTGGCTTAATTAAATTCGATTTGGTTCAAAATGACCCTTTTTGCAAGACAAATCCTCCACTGCTCACCATAGGACGTAGATAAATTCCTTTTGCGTAATTCTCTATTCCCATGACGACTGCTTTGACATTGTTCGTGTGTCCTTACTGTTACGGGACAGGGGGTGCACGCCTCCCCCCACTATCCCACACTGCATCTCCCCAGGCAGGACGTTCACCAATGCTCCCAATATAGAAAGAGGACTACCCTTGTGTAATTAATAATGTAAAATATGCAAGAGAAAGCATTTTGCTCCTGGTTTACTTTAGGGACTAATTAGCAGCAATGGTAGACTATAACTAAACGCACGCCTTAGTAAAACATACACTCATTTAAGGTGCTCCACTCGGGTTGGTTATTTACTATTGCGCTTGAATGTAGCACAGCCTAAGAAGGATTGTCAAGTGCTGATACAACTCTTTGAGAAACAAGAGCTAGTTTAATGATTATTATTCTAGATGCAAGGACTGGTTGTGTGTTATTAGCAGACTCTTCACACTATATAAAGGAGCATATTTTAGCCATAACATTATGACCATTATACATCCATCCATTTTCTTCCTCTTATCCGGGGCCTGGTCACGGGGGGAGCAGTCTAAGCAGAGACTCCCACATTTCCTTCACCCCAAACATTTCCTCTAGCTCCTCTGGGGGGACCTCGAGGCGTTCCCAGGCCAGCTAAGAGACATAGTCCCTCCAGCGTGCCCTGGGTCTTCCCCGGGGCCTCTTCCTCCTTGTGACCATTGTTTTCACATTAAAAGTGATCTCTCTATCTCTATATTTTTTATATAGATTCATATCAGTCTTATCCCCATGGCCTCCACCGAATCTCAGTACTGGTCAAACGTGATCATTCAATCAGACTTGTTTTTTTCAGTGACGTGAGAAGAAATGAAGAAGCTCACTGGTCACATATCATTTACAAATAAAATCACATTCCTCTCACATCAGATTACCAGAGTTTAGTGCTTCACTCATTGATTCTACAGAAATTCACAATGTTTTCCAGTCCCCCATGAAATTTTTTTCCTTTATTTTTTCTGATACGGACAGACCATGTGTGTTCCTGACTGCCTGATCCATCTGTCAATCACGGGCATCTGAAAACAGAGAGATTCACCATACCAGACTCATATCTTTGTAAAGTCCTGAAGGATCATGTATTCTAGATCTCAGGCAAGCAAAGTACCATAGTATGGTATTAAACTTGTTTGCAAGCATTAAATTAAGTGTTTTCCTGCTAAAAATATAACTTGGAAAAACATCTAACTGTGAGCTGTCTCCTCTTCGCAGATTTGACCTTTAACTTGACCCGGTAATGTTTCCTGTTTTTTTCCATAGCGGTGGATATATATGTTTATTATGTGCATTTTAATAGAAACATTTAATGTCACACTATGGGACTTTCCTAGCAAAGCAATAATTATATCTTCACGGAAACAAGTTGATGCGACCCTCTACCAGTAAAATGACATTTAAAATGCTAGAAAATATTTTGTCCACACAGATTTTAAGAGGACTAATTTCATTTGAACATCGTTTTGTTAAAGGTGCAGTAGATGGACGTTTTCTAGTGAAGTGTCCACCATTAGCCAGGCTGGCGTCACCTAGTGCCTCCGGTCAGGAATCGGAATACACTAGATGGTTTTGCAAAAAGCTTAATACCAGTTAGCTTCGTTAGCAGTGCATTACATACATCATGACCAAACAGCAACCACTAGTTTAAAAAAAAAAAAAAAAAAGTGCCTGCCTACAGTCGATCGAACAAATCCTAATGCTGCAAGGTCAGGCGGTTTCTGCGAAGTGAAATCGGCTGATGAATCAGGCTAGTCCACCATATGCTCACCTCCAGATTTTATAGCTTTACCTAGAATGTTCCTCATTGTGGCATTAAACTCTAAAGGGACAAGTCGCTGGTGCCTCCAGGTCAAGTTACAGGTCTGATCTGTGAAAAGGTAGTAACGTTTTTCATCTTATTTCTTTTAGCATTTTACCAGTCTGTACTTGATTTTTTCCCCATGTTTGAGCACATGTCTCATCCCAGCAGATACAGTATATTGTATAGGCAGCTCTTGAGGACAAAATATGTCTGCTGTGTGCTGTCTGCATCTAATTATTAAGCACTGTATTGTTGAATAGGAGGTGCACATTAGCATGCTAAGCGTTGTTAGTTTTACTGTGACTTCCAAAACTCTGGCCTTGTAAACTCAATGCAATGAATAATTAGAAACTTAGATGAGGAATAAATCTGGACCACTGCAAAATCAAAAATGTATAAGTTCAAGACAGATTTGTTTAATGCCATACTGTGGAACATTCTGTGTCATAAAGATAGTACTTATTTGAACAACTGGTTTCACTTTCAGGATGTAGAGGGGAAGGAAAATGTCTAAAAATAAAACAAATCGAAACCCACGGCTTTACTTTCCACTAAATTCACCTTTCAAACATCAGATCCAAAAACATGAGCACAGAATGAGAAATAAAATGTTTATTTTACTGTGAGTGTTTTTTACACTAATAACAAAGGTTTGAGCGAGTCCTGTGGGCCATACACCGACCCAAAAATAAACGTGTTTTCAATGGGCGTACCCCGTAACATTTTGTAAATCAACATAATAAAAAAATGATTGAAAGCATTTTTTCAACTCACAAAAAGAACAATAATACAATGAATGGGCCCAATGTTTTTTGAGTTTTCAGCTTGTTAAATTTCATCACAGAAAAAATCCTACCTCTTTGTGATGGCTTTGAACATATCTCTCAAAAACAAAAGTGGAATGAAAAACAATACAAACACATTTCAGAAAGGCATAACAATAAAATAATAGAAAATCAGAATATATAATTGAGTTAGGACATCTTCCTTATATTGTACCTTAGTAAGTACCTTATTTTTGGTCCTGTGTGTTTTGCGTAATGATTTGCACAGTGAGTACACCTCCAGCCTATACTTCACAGTCTAAATATTAGCATTACTATTGTTACTAATAGTGTTACAGCTCCTTCAACAAGGGACAACCTCTGTAAGCCAGAAGTCGCTAATCAATAATACAACTAAACCATTGTACATCTAAATACTAGCACTTTTTGGTAGTGTTAACCCCATCTGAAAATATAATATGTTACCGTTAAATAATATAAAGAGGAAATACAGTTTTAATAATTATGATTTTTAAAGATTAGTGTAATTTAATCTACAGAAAGGGGTGACAAAGCTAAGTCCAATATGTTGTGATGTCTGCCTCTTTCACACATGCACATGATTATCATTTTACTGGATATGTTTACTTTTTTTGTCTAGAATACTTTCATTTAAACAGTAATTTGAGAGTTGAAAATATGGAATAAGTTGCTGTAGTTTTATGTTAGCCAGGCCAGTCCAATTTCCCAGTGCCACCAGGGCAGTTTATTCTCTACATGTCTGATTACAATGATTTGTTTAGCAGAGAATATATTGTGTGCCTGATTGGCCATTATTACAAAGTAGTGCACGATGCACCATGGGAGGTTTTTGGAAGAGGGCATTCCCCCCTCGCGCCTCCACTTCATTTAATTTCTCTCCAATGACTAGGTCAGGAATCGGAATACACTAGACGGTTCACAAAAACCCAGAAGTGCGAGTTCGGGCACCAGCCAATCAACGAAGAGCCATACATTCTGTGTTGGCAACGATTCCCAAGATCGAAGATTTAAAGCCGGAACAAAGAGAATGTTTGGTGAATTTTATCAAGGGGAAACACGTTATTGCCTTCTTCCTACGGGATTTGGGAAAAGCTTAATATACCAGTTTGCCCCATTCGTGGAACATTACATACGTCACCACCAAAGAGCAGCGACTGGTTAAAGTAAAAAAAAAGTACCCGCCTACTGTCGAGCGAACAAATTCTAACACTGCGAGGTCAGACAGTTTCTACAAAGTGAAACCAGCTGATGAATCAGGCTAACTCCCCCCCTGCATGTTTCGCTGGAAACGTTATTGATTTGCCTGAAATTTTCCACAGTATGGCATTTCTGCAGGTGAAACTTCTGGGCTGAGTTACAATTCACATCTATGGGTTTAATGCCATATGGCGGAACATCACAAGCAAAGCAATAATATCTCCACAGAGACAAGCAGAAAGTGACATAGTGCACATTTAACACAAAACTCAATATTACTGCGATGACAAAATGCCATGTTACAAATTTGTTGATCAATTTGTGGTAATTTTCCATTAGAACAATTGATAAAGGACTTTTGGCCACTTACAACCAGTAAAAAAACATTTGTTCTGTTGTATTGTTTTAGGGCATGTGTGAAAGAGGCTTCATACTGTCTTCTGGTTTTGTACCTTGAAGCTAAAAAGCCTTGTCTAATGTTATCAATATAGTTCGTTATCAGTAAATAATATGTACAAATTAAAAATGCATTGAAAATACAAATCACCAGCTGGAAGAACGTCTCTTTAGTTCATACGTCGAGCATTTCACCTCCCGCCATTTCGAGTGTTCAGCAACTTGGAAGAACCGAGAGTTAGCAGTGCGGCGGACGCCAACTGCTGAAGAGGCCCCTATGACATCTCAGTGCAGTTTACAAGATACAAAAATAAGAATTCCAAAAGAAAAATTGACAGTTTTAAGGGCAGAGTGGTTGTGAATGGCAAAGACTGGATTTGGCAAAAAAAAAGCAGCGTTGGTGAGAGTCTTGAAAAACCATGCAGCAGAGATGTGTTCATGAGAGAGTCTGTGGGAGAGACAGAGTGATCACACGCACTCCTCTGCAGACATCAGCAGAGGGTTTATGTACTCGAAGCCTTCAAACTCAGACTGGTCAATCTTCTTCACCACATCACTGGAAAAAAAAAGGAAAATGGATTTGTTTTTTGTTTATATTTAAAGGTAATATATTATGAAAAAAATGTCAGCTTTTAGCCATGTTATTACAGCATCAAAAACATAGTCTTTTGTTTAGTAGAGATTGCAAATTCCACGGCTGAAAAATTCGTGCATCATTCGTTCATTCGTTTTTCAATATAAAACCAAAAATAAGAAAATGAACAAACTAATGTTTTCTTCATTATTTGTCTCCAAAACCAAAACGAAAAAACAGATAACGATTTTTTTTTCTTTTTTCATTTTTCGATTTTGTGTTTAAATCAATAATAGAAAAAACAGATAAACGGTTTCCCGTTTTCGTGACTTAAACTGCGAAGCTGGACTTTTGCACCGCATCACGGAAATGGAAAACAACAATTATCCATTTTTCCATTACTCATTTAAACACAAAATCAAAGGAAAAAAAAAAATCATTATCTGTTTTTTTCATTTTGGTTTTGGAGACAAATAATGAAGAAAAGTGTTGTTTTTTGGTTTTCTTATTTTTGGTTTTATATTGAAAAATGAATGAATGATACACAAATTCTGAAATGATCCTAACGATTCTAGTAAAAGTGTATAGAGTTTAAAAACACAGTGGAGCACTTAATGTATTACCACATGACATCACAAGGTGGAACGGTATTTTCTGTTTGACAGAACATCTCAGCCAGCCTTGGTGTTATTGTGTTATATTGAGTATGTTGTGATATTAATTTAATGTTGCCCTAATTTGCTTCTTACTATGTTTTAAATATTGTTTTTATTATATGGTTGAGCCAGTGTGTCCGAGTATTGTCTCTTGTGCAAAATTAATAGTATTTGAAAGCAGCTGTGTCTGTGTGTGAAACGTACTCGTCGTCCGGCGTGAGCTGGATGGGCTCGTTGGTGAACTGTGCGTCGAAGTTGTCCAGCCCGAATTCTCCTGAGATGTTTGGTTTGAAGGGAGGCACCACCTGCTTATGCTCCAACTGTGAACACACAAACACATAAATAATTACATTTTCATTTTTATTCTTTCGTTCAGTTCTGCTACTTAAAGATTTCACTGGAGCAAGATCCAAGACTTTGATATTTCTCATCAACATAACTAGGGTTGTCAAAACTAAACGAAACACTAAATCTCATTCACAGGACAGAAATGAACCATTCCTCAATAGCTTTAGAATGATCATGAGCTGTACCAGAACAAGAATAAGAGCACATAGTCTAGTATGCGCCCATGGATCACTATGGAACTGACCTGGAGGACTGAGGGATTACACAGATTTAAGTCCACATGGTAATATAAAAGAAAGTACTATAATTACATTTTTATCTTGTTCTATTGTATAAAGAAATTGTGTTTTATATTATCATTGTGGTTTCGGATTCAGTATGGAAAACTGAGTCTATTACTTGGTATCAAAATCAAGTTTGAAAAAAAATAATAATAATCTGTTCTACACCAGTCTGTCTAAACCTCAGTTAACCATGCTGTATTTGCCAGCTCTCAAATGCTCCCCCTACAGGCCAGACATAATCCCCTTAGAGCTGGTGTGAACAAGACCGAGGGGGAGGAGAGGGGGAGGAAGAGGGAGGACAGGGGGGTGTAAGCTGATCCTCCAGACACGACCAGAGGGTTCATGTCCCAGACCAAAACAGGGAAATAGCCCCCCTCCCCCGCCTCCCCCGCCTCCTGCTCCCCCTCTTCTTCACTGTCCACTCTCTGAAGGACAGGTTAAAAGGAGAAGGGCAGCAGACGGAACAACCAGAGAGATAATAACATTAAACTCTAGATGGTAAATAAAGTAGAGAAACTTTTTATCTAAAAAAAATATGTGGGTTATTTGGGATGTTACATAATTTGTAAAAAATAAAATAAAATCTATGTTAAAAAAATTAAAATATGTGTATCCAAGAAGCAGTCTAGCAGTAGCCAGGCTGGCGCCACCTAGTGTCTCTGCTCAATTTCATTTTTCTCCAGCAACTAGGTCAGGAATCAGAATACATTAGATGGTTTGCAAGAACCCTGGAAGTGCGAGTCCGGGCACCAGCCAATCAGAGAAGAGCCATACATTCTGTGTTGGCAACAATTCCCGAGATCGAGGATTTAAAGCCAGAATAAAGAGAATGTTTGGTGAATGTCTTTATCAAGGGGAAAGAAATTATTGTAAGTAAGTAAGTCTTTATTTATATAGCGCTTTTCACAGACTTTTTTGTCCCCAAAGACACTTTACAGAGCATAATTCAGCATTATTCATTCAGCATTATTCATTCACTCTATACCTGGTGGTTGTAAGCTACTATTGTAGCCACAGCTGCCCTGGGGCAGACTGACAGAAGCGCGGTTGCCAGGCCAATCAGCGCCATCGGTCGTCCGACCACCACCACCATCACTCACTCACACACACCACTTTCATACTAGGCAATGTGGGTGAAGTGTCTTACCTAAGAACACACAATGATTGGATTGATTGTATTGTCCTACATACGTCACGACCAAATAACAGCGTTTGGTTAATTAAAAAAAAAAAAGTACCTGCCTACCGTCGAGTGAACGAACAAATCCTAATGCTGCGAGGTCAGACGGTTTCTAAGACGTGAAATCGGCTGATGAATCAGGCTAGTCCAGCAGGTCTTTAATTACATTATGCACAATTGATTCATGTGATCTTTCATTTGTGCTGGAATGTTGTTCTCATCAAAAACATCCCTGGACTTGTGTTTTGTTTCATTCACATGTCTGAGTAATCCTGCATTATTCGGATGTTTTCAGTTTGTGAGAAGAGCACAGCCTAAATATGCAGGACTGTGTATTATAAGTGTGTGTATGTTTGTGATAAGGAATCAGCATTATAACATAGATCAAAAATTTGCTTCATTTGGGCCCTTTAAGATTTCAAATGAGCTTTTTATTATTGCAAACTCATTTCTAATAGTGAAGGAAACTGTGAGTAAAAGCATCTGGTTTGGTGATGAGCTCAAACTTTGACATTTTTCTGCTCATTGAGAATAATGAAAAGTCTGTATTGATTAAGGCCCGGAAATGTACATTAAAAAAACATGATGAAGAAAAAATATCTGTATTCATTTCATACTCCCTACTCCAACTCTAAACCAGTCCATGAACTAAATGGTTGAATTGCTGCGGTTAAAACTGTTGCAAAAAATCAATACGTCTCAAAATGAATGACATTTCTTTAAACCATGCAAATCTTAAGACTTCAGAATCATGACAAAATCAATACTTCATTTCACATTTCAAGGCCTCCTCCAAACAACCTCCAATGAACAGGAAGTATTTGGGGTCAGCGCTCGTCTCCACTTCCTCAAACGCTGGCCATGTGACTTCGGTGAATCCTGTGTTTTTCTCCGCTCCTTTAACCTTTCTCCAACTTTGCATTGACGCGTTTTGAGACGGGAAGCAGAGAGACGGACCGCCCGTGCTTTTGCTTTGACCCTGTGTCTACAAAAGCCTGTTTTTCTTTACCAAAAAAATCAATACATGGATTTGTTGTGACCTTTTTGGCAGCTGGCCGATTCTGCCCCCTACCAGATTATTAAAAATGCGAGCGGAGATGATGAATGTTGCATATGAAAAAGCAATCAGCGAGACAAAGAGTGGTGGTTCAAATAAAGAGATTTCACCAAATACTGCGGCTGCCCTTAATTACTCTAAATCAACGGTACATTTTAGTAGACATTATTACTATATACATTTAAATTAATCTTTTTTTTTTTTACACTGATTTATTCTGCTCCGATTAGAAGGATTTTTTTTTTTTTTAATGGTAATTGCTAAAACAGATAAAATAAGAAATATATCACCACTCAAGCACTATTGTATTATGACTTGAGGTGATTTAGCCAAAACTGTATAGTACAATTTAAAATTTGATTTATGTAGAAATTATTGCCCCTATTATGCTATTCTCTAATCTTAACAGATTATGTCTGTTATAATGTTTTCTCATCAAAAACATACCTGGAGATGTGTTTAGTTTCATTCACACATAGTCAACACAAAAACCCTTCTTTTCTCGGTTCTTCTCTCAGACAGAAAATGCTCCATCTTTTGATGTCATGTGTTAATACAGGAAGTTTTAAACTCTGCACATCTTAACTAGAATAATCTGGATAATTTCAACCCTGAAATTTTCTGTCTCTACTAAATAAAATCATCATGACATTACAAGGTGGAACAGAGCATTTTGAGCTTAGGAGATGCAGACAGACTAAACATAAGGGGTTACTTAAACGAATGTGAATGAAACAAAACAACTCGAAGTATGTTTCTGATGAGGTAACAAGACATTTTCTTTCATAACATAAGACCTTTCAGAGACAGTGAAAGCCATCTGCGTCATCTGACAGATCGCATTGTTACTGGTTGAATACACCTGTCACTCAATGCATAGCAGAGGCTGACCAACAGAATTAACTCATCACAATTTAAACCAATTTAAACTCACTTAATTCCCTATAACTGCCTTTCATAGAATCAAAAGACAAATGTTGCCTATTTTGTCCCAGAGACAAATACATGCACAATTAAGACTTGCTGTGTTGTCCACTTCACCAACCTGTGGTCTAGGGCTGATTAAATTTGTGATTTATGTTTAAAAAAAAAAAGCAGGATTCTGTTCAGAGTGCACATGGTAAACAAATCCAGGAACATTACTGTATGAGAGAGGACTGAAAAAGGAAATGATAAACCAATACAAAACCACATGAATTTCATGAAGTTCAGAGAGGTTTTTGTTAAAAAAAAAAAAAAAAATTGATATTTTCGTTCTTTGCAGAGAAATTTCTATTAACTAAATGACTGCAGCCTTTGCAACTTGAGAATTTCACCAACTCCAAAGCTTGTGCAGCCCTAAATGATACAGCTGATCCACTTTGCATGTGTTTAACTGTCCACATTTGCTGTAGTTTGAACTGGGCTGATTTAAGTGACTTTGATTGTAGCATGCTGTTGGTGGCAGACGGTCCGACCATAAAGGGACATGATGGAGCGGATCATTAGCCATCTGCCTTTTCCCTGTTGTGATGAGATGACTTTTTGGGATGGAAATTGTGACAAAAACTGAGGGGCCATGCTTGTTTATGCTAATACGGTAGGTGCCTTCAGTGAAGACTTTTACCTCTTTGTGTCGTGGTAAATGGTGCCATTTGTAAATAGCACTTTTCCACCTTCAAGGCGCTTTACATCAAGGAACCACTCGCCCATTCACACACTAATGTATGCACCAGTGGGTTAAGTATCTTGCCCAGGGACACACAAACTGTGGGTCAGTGCTCGACCAATGATGTGTCGAGAACGGGAATGAAACTGCCAACCTTTGGATCAGTGGACAAACACTCTGAGCTACCGTCGCCCCTCATGTATACGGCAAGATTTTTCTAATTGCTGATAAAACGTATTGCTTGTTTTGTTATGTTTATTTGCGTAAACTGAAGGGTGTAACATTTGCTCCATTTCATACAAGACTATATTCACACCATACTCCATACAACTCACCCTTATGTAACAGATAATACTCCCTACAACTGTACAACAATTCATCCTCATGTAAAGGATAACCCTATGTCATCATATCATTGTTGCACTGTCTTCCTATGACTTTTTATATATGGCTGAGATTTTATATATTATTACTTATTTTTGTACATTTACATTTATAACTATATCTTATTTACACCAGTCTCTTGCTATCTTTTTTGCTAAGTATTTAAAATGTATTACAACCATTTATATTTTTACTCTTTGTTACTGTAATATATTATGATGTGTGAGCTACTGTATCCAAATAATTTCCCTTGTGGATCAATAAAGTTTTTCTAAATCCAATTTCAGAGTAGAAAACATCTTACTAAACATAATCTTGTGATTATAATGATGCATAATGCACTATCCATTCAAAATCGATTATATTTTTTGAATTGTGAAAAGTCCTCAAAATGGCACCCCAAATACAGAAAGCTAAAACCCGAACAGGTAAATAACACCTTTAGGGCAGACTGGCCACAACAAGAAGGACAGAAATACCTAATATGTTCTTTAAAAACGATAATGTAGCGCTTTTCAAAGTTTTGATACACGAGTGCTTAGTTTTTTTCTGGGTTCTTATTGCACTACATTACATAAGCCTCACCAATGTCACAATATGCTTGCAAAATCCCATTCCTAGACATTGAAATATTATCACATGGCAAAAATGGCACAGAAGGGAATATGGGCGAGACCTTTTTCACCCAAAGGATCCAAAGGTGGTTGGGGTGATAGACATTAGATAGATAGTGACTTACGAGGTCCCAGTCGACGTTTCTGAAGAACGGGTGAGCCTGGATATCTGCAAACCCAGTCTGAGGGTGACAGCCGAGACGCTCCTTTGGGTCCTGGAGAGACAGCGAGAGAGAGGTGTGTAAGAGACGGAGAGGAGAGAGGGTGATAGGAAAAACTATTACTTGCATTTTTTATTAGTTATTTCAAGTGAAAGCATTCTTTCAGACACTCCCAAAGAGGAAGACTAAAGTGGGCTGCATCAGTGGTATCTGGTTTAAAACATCGATTTGTTGTTTAGATGTTTAGAAACTGAAGAATCTCTTCAGCATGAAAACCCATTATATTGTAATTTTTCCTATTAAAATTGTAATAGGAGAGCTCTAGTGCTGTTTTTTGGCTCGAGCTTTAAGCACTTTAAGAAAATATCACTAGTACACAACCTTACATGCACTGTCTTAATTTCTTTCACATTAAGTTAAAGGTCTGATATTCAGCAAAACTGACTTGTGAACTTTAAGTCATGTTGGACTGTTTTCCCTCATGAAAAACATATCTGGAGTAGGGTTTTGTTTCATTCACACATATTTGAGTAATCTTTTATTATTAGTCCATCTACATCTCCAAAGCTGAAAATGCTCTGTTCCATTTTGTGACATCATAAAGTGGAAGTTTTAATATTAGCAGCTCCTTTTACCCATAGTTCAGTAGAGATGGACAGCTCCAGGCCTGAAATTATCCTAATGTTTCTAGTGAAAGTGTATGGAGTTTAAAAACACAGTGGAGCACTTCCTGTATTATCACATGACATCACAAGGTGGAACAGAGTGTTTTCTGTTTGAGAGAAGAACTGCAGGGTTTGTGTGTTACGCATGTGTGAATGAAACAAAACACAACCCCAGGTCTGTTTTTGATGAAGAAACATTATAACAGATCAGAAAACAGCGTAATACGAGCAACTTATCTTTTCCATGTTACTATCTATCTCGATCTGCATTGTGCTTCAAAATGTGTCATGGTGACGTGCGGACTAGTGCGGCACGTCTGAAGCGAGTGCGTGTCTGTTGACCTCAAGACTAAAGTCACACTCAGGACTCAGGGCCGGGACAGTGCAGATCGATGGAGTCTGACCCGCTCACCTTGTTCAGGAAACCCTTCAGGACACTGGCAGCTTTGACTGACAGCGAGCGCGGGATTCGGATCTGTTTTTCCAATATTACTGCAACACACAAGAGGGAGAGAGATGAGCGAGAGGAGGTGAGGGAAGAGGTGGAGGAGGGGTGAAAGAGGAGAGAGAGAAAGAGAGAGAACAAGAGGGAGATAGATGAGTGACAGCAGAGAAGCAGGATAGGGGTTGATGGAAGAGGATATGAAGGAGAGAGAGAGAGGCAGAGATGGAGGGGAGTGAAAGAGAAGAAAGAGAGAGGGGCAGAGAATGAAAGTAAGAGAGACAAACAAGAAGAGAGAAACACAGAGAGAAGAAAGAGAGAAAAGCAGAGAGTGAGTGTGTGTGTGCCAGTGAGAGAGAGAAGTGAAGAAAAAGATGAGGAGAGTAAGGAGAGGGTGAGGAAAGGTGATATGAAAAGGAGAGAGCGAAAGAGAGACAGAAGAGAGGGGGGTAGAGAGAGTGAGAGAGAAAAGAGACAGACAAACGAAAAGATGAGAGAAGGATGGGGAGAGTCAGGAAAGAGGAAATAAAGGAGGAGCGAGGTGAGTGAGAGTGTTAGGCGAGGAAAGGTGATATGAAGGAGGAGAGAGACAAGAGAGAGAGAGAAGAGAAACAGAAGTGGTCGGGGTAAGTAAGGTAAGAAGAGAGAAAAGGGGTAAGAGAGACAGGAGACAGACAAGAACAGGGGCAAAGGGGGAGAAGAAAAGAATAAATAAAAAGGAGGGGTGGAAAAAAGACAAAGATGGAGATAATATATGAGAAAATAAAAGGCACGGATGAAGAAATGTAGAAGAAAGGTTAGACGAGAGTAGTGAAGGGGGAGGGAAAAGGGAGATAGAGAGGGAGAAAGGAAGGAAGGAGAACTGAATGCATGTCTATACTGTCAGGTACATTATGCATTACTCCCAGTACTATTCCTCCCTGTGTTTAACATGCAGTATGTGGAGAAATAACCTGATTTATGTAGTAGATCAGCTGACCTCAGTAAACATATGGAGGACCACGAGGGGCTTCACAAACACATTTCACACCATCTGCGTTTTGTACGAGATCAAATTAAGAAGACCCTCATTTATTAAATTGACTGCTTTGCATTGATTAAACCCACGCTTGCTTAATTATGAAGATGCATTTAAAGGTGCATTGCGTAACTTTTCCGGCGCGGGGAGGGTCGCCAACCTGCATTTGCGTACAAAGACAATGTTTCAATATCGTTGTTTTTTTATTTCTAAAAAATATCATGATCTTACTGTGGAGAGAGCTTGCCTTCCTACAGATCTGGTGATGACTCCATGCTGATGTTATTGTTTTGCTTAGAATGTTTGACAGTAAGGCTTTAGACTTAATATACAATACATAATATTGGCTAAATTCATAATAAGATCTGCTTATTTTCGATGCATATTTAATATCAAGAAGCTGGCAAACCTTTCTCGAGAAAATTATAGCTTGACCATTACTGAAAGAACATCACATTTGCTTAATTAATTCTACGAAAAATGTAAATAAAAAAAAAAGTATTGCGCAGCCCTGTTTGGCATGGATGACAAGTTCAGATCTTCAGTCTTTAGTTATACATAGAATCCAATTAACCAGAAGTGCCAATGGAGCATGTCTAAGTGATGGCCTTTATAATTATACATCAATTACATTCTAAAAACAAAATGTCATGTGTTTAGACTGCTCAATCACTGTCAGACTTTCTATTTTCCCTCACACACACAGGACACACAGTAAACAATGCCATTTTCCCTTGTTTAGAATAATTTCACACACTCTGAGACCAGATGGTGGCTGTGTGGTCTGGGATTACGTGGTCGCTAAAAAGGTGTGGAAATGAAAGTGTTGGATTAAACTGTTTATGTTCTTATGTATTTATAGCTCATTGTGTTAAAGTTATCTGTAGGTTTTCAAATTACATCACAACATCTTATATTCTTTTATTATTCTAAGTCTACTATAAGTTTTTCACTGAGATGTGGGGCAGTTAACATTTGATGCAGATTTTGGTGTGGTTGAATAAAGATAAGAGAGTAATTAACCTGGTCACTGATACAAATTATTGAGTTTAACTTTTTTTTGTTGCCATTTTTATTTCAAATGAGAATAGTATTGGTGCTTTGCAGTGAGATCATGCCGGGGGGGTTTATTGTGGTGATATATCATTATGTGACATAACGCAGAGAAGATTGTCTGAAAACTAAAATTATTTTAAAAACACATTTTCAGGGGCCTGTGATCAATACGAGCGTTCATGGTTGATTTTCAACTAAAACGGTAAGTGTGACTAAATGAAAAACTTTTTGGCTAATGCTAGCTATGAGATGGACTTGTTTAACAGCACAAAGCAGCTCAGTGGTTCCAACAAATTTATGGTCAGATTGTGTAAAAAAAAAAAAAACATTAAGTGTAACATGAATAATCAATAGAGGTATTCTAATGGCTATATTTATTTAAACAGCATAAAAACAGACGTTTGTGACAAAATGAGATCTCTGCACATTGTCTCTATTAAAGCATTTTTATTTCCCATCAAAACCATCAGTTAATATGTGTTATAGTCAAATATAGTGATGGTACATAGCTCTAGTAATATTTTTTTTTACCTTGGAAGAGGTAGTCTTCTGTGTTCTGGTCAGGGTTGTCTGAGCTCCCCACAATGTCAAATGGAGACCGTCCTGCCATCATCTCAAACATGAGCACCCCCAAAGCCCACCAGTCCACACTGAAGCCTGGGGAGACAAAGCAAAGGTATAATTTTATCAGGGGTCATAGAACAGGTTTGAGAATTTCAGTGTTTTCTGGGACAGTCTGTAAAAGGAATCTTGGCTAGGGCTGCATGGTTTTCTGTCCAGAGTACACATTGTAAACAACTCCTGCAGCATCAACATTTGAGACTGGAATATGAGTTGCTAAGACACGACTTTCGGTAACTAAGGCGGCAAGCTATTTTCTTCTCATTTTAATTGTGTTTAGACTTCTAGCCATTATTCTTTGACGTGGACACAGACGCAAAGCACCAGACACGAATCTTCAGTATTTTTATTTCACATTAGTCATCCTGTACCCATCTGATTTCTTGTCTAAAGTTTAAAGGCACAAATGTCATGACTGATAAACTTTAAATGTCAAGTATTAGATGAGAAAACATCTTTATATATATTTTTGCAATGAAAATGTCTGTAATTGAAAAAAAACACACAGGGTAACTTTCCAGGCAAAGCAATGGTATCTCTAGGGGGACAACTAAAGTTACTTAGTGTCCCTTTAATTAATTAAGTTCGTTTTCATATTTTTCCATCTCCCAACTTGCAACACAAATTCCAGAGTAATTTGCTGATTATATAGTTGAATTAAGGTGCTTAACCAATAATCAGAGTTAATATCTAGTACTGAGACTACTGAAAACATAACTTCTAATAAAACTAAACGGCATCTGTCATGTGTTCTTGATACTGACCGTAATCTTCTCCTCTGAGGATTTCAGGGGCAATGTAATTGGGCGTCCCACAAAAAGTGCTGGTCGTGTCTCCAGGCCTCAAACCCTCCTGAATTCAAAATAAAAACAAAAAATGAGACACGTCCCTGTTCATCACAAAACGGTGAGAAGAAGCTAATAAATTACATTAAAATATGAAATGAACTAGTATGGCTTTATAATCTTGCAATCTTAGTGTTTTAGTATTGAATGTGGTAATGTGAATAGCATAATTAGAACTGCTAGAAATATATTGTTAAATGCCAACAAGTCAAATTATTAAGTATTGTCTTCATTACTGTATTATTTATAAGTGTAAAATCATAAATATCAATTTATGCAGTTCTTACATGAGTTATTTCTGTGGTTTCCTAAAAATGCAAGACAAAATTGTAGACCCTTAATATGAAACTATAACACAATGAAGCTGTTAAAAGAGAAACATCTATTTGTAAGAAGCATCTCAACTAAGGCTGCATGACTTATATAAATATAAAAATGTAATTCCTATTTTTCTGATAAACACTGAGATTATGATTCGATTTGCAATTTCAAAGTTTTAATAATAGGATATTGTTCAAAGTTCACATTTTAAACAAGTCCAGAAAGAGTGAAATATTTTACTGCCAAACTAACACAAGAATCACATTGAAGAACATGTTTGCACAGATCTAAATAAGAGAGGGTCAGCAGTTTTATATGCAGAATATGATATTTTGTTGTTTGTGGGGGAAATTATGGTACTTCAAAAACTGCAGCCTTTCCCATTTGCACAGCAGATGTTCAAATTCATTCTGATTGGATTGCCCTAATTTAAACCCGAGCTTAATTACATAGAGCAGAGACAGTAGTACCTTGCACATGCCGTAGTCAGTGAGTTTGATGTGTCCCTCGGAGTCGAGAAGAACATTGTCCAGTTTCAGATCTCTATAAATGATTCCTCGTTCGTGGAGGTAGTTTAGTGCCATACTGATCTCTGCTGAGTAAAACCTGAGAAAAACACAATTCACTATGTAAAAACACTAATATCACTATGTAAATCTACAATATCCTAAGACCGTGTTCACAAACCATTTCAAAACTGAACTAAACTAGGTCTATATCCAGAACTAGAGCTGGACCAATTCAAGACTAGAACAGTGTGAAAGCAAGCCTACAACAGAGCCAAACTGGAATTAAACCAGGACTAACCCTGGACAAGTGTGAACACAGCCCTAATCCTGTGATAACTTTTAAATGGTGACAAGTTCTCAAGATGTCACCTATGAACAGGTAGCTGAAACCCACAAACAGTTTGGTCCATGTAACACTTAGCTGTACCTGGCGTGTTCTTCTGGAAGTTTCCGTTGTCTCTGCATGTGGAACATCAGATCTCCGCCATTAACATACTCAATAACAAAGAACAGTCTGCAAAAAAACAAAAGAGAAAGAGTTTTGAGAAATTAATTTGCTGTTTCCTGTATTTTAATATTCTTGTAAGGCCACAGTGTGCCTGTAAAGTCTGGCTTCAGATAGCTGTAAAAATCAGGGCAGTATAAAAATAGCCCAAATTGAACATTTGGTTTTGGTGTATACAATTCCCTGGGAATAAGGAGCGGACTGAACATTAAATTTTCCATCCTGTGAAATTCAAAATGACTGAACAGCAGGAAGCTGATAAAAGGTCTTTTGGCGTGTGTGTATTCCAGTTAACAATATGATTATGATTAATTTCACAGCGACAATTCACAGGCACAATTCTTTGCAGCCCTACTGTTCAGGTACATATTATGACAGGCCTAGAAAAGCACACACCTGCAGAGGAGTGTGAAGCTGTGAAGGAACTACTACAGCGTATTCCAGGATTAATCAATACTTCTGAGGATTCACAGGCGACAGAAAACCTGACACTTACACATTTCAAGCAAACCTGTAGCAAAGTCAACAAGTCTAGAATTACTATAAAACTGCAGTGTACCAAGCTTAAAAAATCTGTATTTTCTGTGACAACTGCAGTCAAACACTCTGCATTAAATATTTTGTTTTCTATCTCATATCTCGTTCAGGTTCAAGTACAATTTGGAACTGCATGTATTTTTACTGTCAGTCATTGTATTTTATAATCCCAAATACTAGTATGTGTAGCTACTGATGCCACATGAATTATAGATAATGAGATTTACATGAAAACATGCTCACATATTTTTCAAAAACATCAAGAGTTTGGGCCCATGCTATTCCAATCTCTCTTTGTACTTTACAATTGATTAAAAACAAACAAAAAATCATGTTATTGCAGTTATCCAGCAGCACATTCAAAACCTTGAGGGTATGAACTTGGACATTGGTATTTGTTCAAAGTTTGAGAACCACTGCTCTATTGGCAAATATTGTTATAGCATAGTTGTCATAGTCATCGTCATTTTTCAAGGTTTTCCAGAAAATACAAAAACAAACTGACAATGTATGGAAGATGACTGAGCAGTTTGGGCGTGTGTGTGTGTTTTTTGCTGTAAAAATACTTCTAATTGCCCAAGGACAGAGGCAATGGCACATACAGATGCAGCAGGGACTAAAGAGTAGAATGAGACCAAAAACACAATATGGGCAAAAAATAACAAAATAAAATGTTATTCTGTCAACTGGACAAACATATTATTCACTCAGTTGACAGAATTGTTCTTTCTTTCGTTATGGATCCTATGTGAACAACTGAGGGATTTGATGCAGCATTATACAAAGCTACATAAAGTTATTCTCCACAGTGATGTACATTACCTGCTTTCTGTCTGAAAACACGAGTGGAGGCCGACCAGGAAGGGATGATTGGATGCCTGCTCGAACACGTGCTTCTCCGTCTGAACCCAGTCGATGTCCTGTAGAGACACAGAGACGCACCCAGACGTCAATCACCTCCTCTGACCGCACACCCTTGAACTATGCGCCACGGAACAATCATAATGCTACATCAGCCTTCCCCGTAGCCCAGTGCTCGCTGGCCACAGTAGAAGCACCAGAAAAGTCTATGCAGCGGGCCTATTGATGGTGGATAATAATATGTCTGGACACGGCTGACAGCAAAACACTTCTCCATTGATCGCAGGGCTCTTGTCAATTTGTCAATCACGCTAAGTGCGTCTAATCAAGGCTAACTACTGCAGGAGCGCGCGCTGTGCGGCTACGTACATGCTAAAATCAATCGGTGATGACATGATGGTTTATCTACACCTTCTTAAAGAGAGTGATGGCTCAAAAGACTTCATCCAAAACCAGGGGAAAAGACAAAGGGATAGAGCAGGCTCAAGCAGGTTCAGCCATGTGAAACAAGTCGATGCAAAGAAAAAAGGCTCATACTAATTGCACTAACTGCATTAATTAAAACCCACATTGACTTTAGCAGAGTGAAAGCTTCAGAGCTAACTAACTCACAGCTTCAGGGAGGAGGTGTTATTCGACTGTCACAATGTATAGACTTCTATCACGGTTCATTCTTCATTTCTTCGCAAAATATGTCTTGGCTAATTACTTTTTGACACATCAAGAACAGGGCTGACAATTACCATGTATACATCATCAATAGAGTTGTTTAGAAGTGCGATGTCAATGCAGGAAATGATACAGTTACAAGAACAGAGCTCAGGATGGAATGTCAGATGTGATAAACCTCCATTGAGATCTCAAATTGTTTTTCATTGCAGTTCCTAATCTATACATTGTAGATCATCTTTAAATGTGCACTATAGTTATCTACTATGGTAAATTGCTACATTTTTATATAGCACTTTTTCACTTTCAAGGCATTCAAAGTGCTTTACAACAAGGAACCACTCACCTATTCATACAGACACTTATACATCAGTGTACGCAGGCACTAGAGGCGAGGTCGGTCAAGTTAAGGACACAGTGGGACCTTGGGCAAGGCACTTAACCCAAGGACACAAAAAAGGGTCTTGCCCAAGGACACAATGACAGCATTCATTTGTGGGAGCTAGAATCGCACCACCAACCTGTAGGTCAGTGGATCTGACTGGTCAATAAAATTTATGCAGTCGATTTATTGGGTCTTGAAACAGTTTGGTAACCACTTTGTAATAGCTACATCTTTGTAACCTTTATTAAACGTGAACAAAAACTTAACTGATAATGGGCAAATAGTTTATTATGAATGATTCAGGCTCAGTAACTAGTTTATTAATTATGGTTAGAAGTTAGGGTTGATAGATAGAGACATGCACGTCTGATAAAAGTTGCAAATGCGTGTCCAAAAACAAAACAGTTCAAAGACAAAACAGATTTGCACTGCAGTTCTTTTTTTTTTTTTTTACATTTTTGTGAAGTTATGAAAATTTAAAAAAGGGAACTCCAAAGAACTGCAGTGCAGATCCATCTTATCTTTTCTAGAAGTTAGGATTGTAACTGGATTCTGCAGTCCTAAGTAAACTTTACCTCATCGTCATTGACCAGCTCTTTCTTCACCACCTTCATGGCGTAGATCCTCTCGGTCTTCTTCAGTTGCACTAGCAGCACTTTAGCGTAGCTCCCTCTCCCGATCACCCGGAGCAGGTCGAAATCTGCCAGACCCAGACTGGAGGGCGACTTCCCTGTGTCTCTGCTGCTGCGGGCCTGAGCAAATACAAAATTAAAAACTCAATAAGTGGAGGAGAATTGAGCTAGCTCTTATTAAAATCATTTAGTGATAATATTTTGTCTCGCAACCTTCTCCAAGTACATTTAAAGGTGATTTGGCTGGCCCATGATTTCCTTAGGGTGATTCCCAAATTAAACTCTTGCTTTATTGTAAGAAGTACATCACCATAATGACCGGCTTGGCCTTATTAGATAGAGCCGGGGCAGGAATTTTGATTAAAAGCAGCCGTATCTGGTATTCAGTGTTGATGACACCTTTACAGTTCACACACTGATCTTCCCCTCTCCTCTTCACTAAGATGTAATTTGTTCCGTAGTGAACCAATACCAGGACCAATCCATCTAAAGCCTACGTTGTGACAGCGCACATCCCCAGAGTCTCACACTGAACCTGGGATAACATGATCAGGCCAAAGCCCCCCCCCCTTATGCCCTATGATCTATGGGTCATACAGTATATACCCTATATCTCTAAGTAACTAATATTACTACTTTAATATTAGTTATTATAAATAACTAATATTAAAATGGCCAAACCAGGGCAATAACAAGCATTGGCCAGGACTAAATCAAGACTCTGTCAAGTCTAAATCGGCATTAAACCAGATAAAACCAGAACTGACCACCACTAACCCATGTAACTATGACCTTTAACTTACAGGTCAAACCGAGCAACTATTCAGGACAAGGAAGGTTTGGTCCTAATCTAGTCCTGGTTTACTTATGGTCTAGCCCAGGCTGAGTCCCACTCTAGTCCAAAATTTAATACTAACCGGAATATAGAACAGAATTATTAAGATGTTGGAATACATGACTATTTTAATGCAACTATTTTAATGTTTTAAATTTAATCAAAATCCTTTATAACACAGCTTGCACGCATTCTGCACCCTTTTTGAAATCTCAAGAAGACTGTATTAGCAAAAAAAACAAACACAGGTAGCTTTAGACAGCAGCAACCTTCCTCCTAATCACACTGAGGTCCCAGATCAATTAGTAGATGCTAGCAGTTGTTTTGTGCATCGAGTGGAGCTTATCCATGGAAACCAGACCGGCTTTAGAGCAAATTACAGTCCACAACATAACAGGGCAGCCAATCTCAACTGTGGGTCGAAGAGTGGACAATGCTGAGGTTAGGTGACTTTGGAGCTTATTTCTGGGTAAAATCTTGTTTAATTATACAAAGAAAACAAATCGATGAATATATTTTGATAGAAAATGTGTTTAAAGGGTTATGAGTCAGATGTGTCACTGAATACATCAGACTAAATTATATTCGAATGTGACACACAGCTGGCATTCATTCCAGTCTCCATATGGATCATGAGTCCAATATTCTACATTAAACCAATCTTGTTTAGTAATTAACCAATGGCTATAGATTATAAAAGAAATATATTCTATGGAAAGATTGGTTTGTAAGGCACTGGACAAAAGACATAGAAAATAAACAAAAAGAAAAAAAAAAAAAACTTTATACATCTTTGGTATTGTAATTGTAATTGTTTGATTTGCCATTGTTACAAATAATTGAAAAAATAACTGAAAAAATAAAAAAGAATTTAATAAGCTGAGAAATTAAACCTAAAACATGCACAGTTTGACTCAAATTACAAAAAGCTGCACATTGAAATTATTAAATTTTCATCTTTTTTTTATTATTTATATTTAACCGCATCACTTGATAAACAGTATCCCTGTTGTCATCATTGGTTGTCCATTCTAGTGATCTACAACAGCATTTAACAGCCTTATAATCCTATACAATCTTTTCAATAAAGTCATGGACATATACAATATACCCTAAAATGCTCTTGGGAAAATGCTTGTATCAAAAATAAACGTTTAGGAGTATACACGGACCTCCACTTTTCCTGCTCCTCCCTCTAAATGCACAATCTATCTGGGAGCATCCATCAGCCTCGGGTGTTAAGAGCTGTGATAAAGGGTTACTTTATTAGCCCCGCCAACGGAAATCAATACCACACAACTGCAATAGCGCCTACGTCTGCACGGGCGCTATATCACAGGGACCCAGCAGGGGGACACGCTCATTCAAAAAGATAGTCAACACATACGTGCAATATGGTTCAAATATGTGGGTTACTTGTGTTTCGGATATATTAAATATAATCAAACATGTTAAACAGCTTTGTGTAATTCAACTTGATTGTTATATTTAGCTTGCAGGAAATTCAGGAAGGGATTAAAAAAACTGAATCACTCAATTATTGAAAAATAACTAGGTCTAAACTACGTCTACTATATCTACATCAGAAACTAAACCAAACCATGGTTTTGAAGGTGTACTATGTAACTTTCTGGTGCTGCTTGTCTCCGTGGAGATATTATTGTTTGGCTGAAATGGCATTAAAAGGCAAGCTACATCAGATCTGTGGAGAGGTGACCATGCTTATATATATTACGCAAAATTAACTCCTCTGAGCTTTAAGCCATTTTATAAAGTAATAACCTCATCAAAAACATACCGGAGTAATGTTTTGTTTCATGTACACATGTTTGAGTAATAATAATAATATTTTTGTCTAGTCTAGTTTTCAAGTTAGCAACTATTAACTTTTTTGTTCAGTAGAGATTGGTAATTCCACAGGGCTGAAATGATCCAAGTGATTCCAGCACTTCCTTTACTACCACATGACATCACAAGGTGGAACAGAGGCGAACTCAGGTGAAATGAAGGATTTGTGTGTTAAACATGTACGAATGAAGCAAAACAACTCCAGGTATGTTTGTGATGAGGAAACGACATTATAACAGATGAGAAAATAGCTCAGTCAAGGACTACACTATGGAGTATTTTTACTGCACCGTGTTTTCATTCATAACCTTGAGTGCACCTCACCATCCTTTTCCCATATCTACATTTCCATGCAATTATGCACTGAAGTCCACACACATATCTCCACATATGACAGGTTTGACAGCCGCGTCTCAAAGTGACTCCTCACCTCTTTCTCTTCTCCGTCGTACGTCAGGCTTTCTCTGGACTCTTTGTGCGCGCCTTCAGGACCGGTGACAGACACCAGCCACACGCCGCAGAAGGAGAGTGGGAGGGCGGAGGGAAAAAAAAAAAAAGAAGAAAGAAGATACAGAAAAAAAAAAAAAGAGTGAGAACCAAGTGTGAGACAGTAACAGGCTTTGTTCACAGTTAAAGCAGAGCCAGTGCAATTTCTTCTACCGCCTGTTTAAGTGAAGACACAAGGTTACCACACTATTTTTTTCCCCAAGAAATAAATCCTTGTTTATTTATAATTGTCCATATGTTATTTTCACTGATATAATTTGCTATTAATAAACGGCTGAGCTAGTAGAGGCTAATATTCCAATAGTTTCTTTGGCAAAATTAGAATACAGTGTACATAGTCTATAAATAATAATCATTTTTAAAAAGGCTGGTAGATTACACTATTACATATATTTTTGTACTTTTGGCGTAAATTTCTCAGTCCATTCATTTACTTACACACAACTTAAATACAATCAGGACATTTTAAATAATGTTTTATCACATTTCCAACGGACTGCACCACGGATTATTTGAGGATTATCTAAAAATGTTAGAAGAAGACTATTTTTCTTTTTGTCTTCTATCAGGCCTGTAACATGTGTAATCTGTGATTCATAATTTCATTTCTAATGCCAATATGTCATTATGAGGTGGCAGTCTTGCTTGCTCGCAAAATCTATATATTAAGAATTGTCTTGTTTACATTTTTTATTACTATTTTATGCAGCTATGATTACCTATGAACGCAACTGAGACAATTACCACATACTGCTTATCTAACATTTACATTACATTTTGTTCATGGTGTTTCAGGCAACTCATTATTTTTAACGAGACTATAGTAAAGTGAAGAAAGCATTTTTAACAAGCGCAAAACAACATTTAAAATTATTTCTATAAATATAATGAGGCTTTGTGTCCTGATAAGCACCATAAATGTTGAAGGAGCTTTTTCACATTGTCAAGTCCTGTGTCCTGCCTACGTCCCTCTGATTTGTGTGTGCCCAATTAGGTGAACATACAGTAGTTTTTATTGCTGTGGCCAATTTAGACAAACTTAGGTCTAAAGAGTTGTATGAAGAGCACTGGTTGTAAAGGCCCATGTTGTACCAGTATATAAGGTATAATAATGTATAAGTATATAGCATAAACATTCATTTCTATTTTTAATCGCCATATTACAACACCTTGAACACTGTGAAGACTTTTCCTCACTTGATCTTAATATTGTGTAATAGTTTCTATAGGTTTTCTAACAATAGTACCACAATCCTTGGCTCTGCTCCCAAACACCTGACTGGACTTAAGTCTGGGGTCGAGGGTGACCCAGAACTCAACTGAACCATTAATCTATTGGGTTGCTGCACTAATCAGAAATTGGCCAAAGACTCACAAAGCTCAAATATACAACTTTTTAAATGTTGTCTTTAGATATAGTCTTGTTTTTGTACTTAATATTAAAATACATTTGATTATTTTGAAAACAAAACAAAACAAAAAAACACACAGATTATTTGCTTTGTGAGGACATTACACTGATTTTCTGGAAACCAATCCTAACCTAACCTAACCACCGTTACTTGTGCCTAATCATGCCCAAAAACCCATAACAACAGTAGTAGTAATATCTGGCCCAACACATTTAACACCCAATGTAACTTATCTTTAAAAGTAAATATGTAAAACTAAATTTAGACCTCTTACATTATTAATTAGTGATACTTAATTAGTGAAAATAAGAGTGCACTGTTACCTGGCTGTTCCGTTTGGTCTAATTGACTTGATGGTGGGCCCGGCATGATTGGCTCCTAGATTATAAAAATGTATTAGCACCAAATAATTAAATTAATGAACTATAGTTAAAATTGTGAATTGTGTTGAATAATAAACGATAAATTGACCAGACTTTGCTCACTGACCTGTAACACTGGTCTGCCACACTCCACTGTGACCAGTTTGTGGCACTTTTTGTGGACCAATAGTTTACAATTGATGCATTTGTATCCCTGCCGCCCCAGACCCCAGATCCTGTCTGTACAGATGGCACAGTGCGCTCGCTGCTCAGACAGAAAAGAGAAAAAGTCACAAAATCACAATGTGTCAGACAGTTTACAATGTAGACTTGATTTGATTTAGTTTAAAATTAGTTACTGCACAAAACGGATTCTTAAGTTTTAAGTTATTAAGTTTGATGTTACTCAAACATTTCCAGAGTTGTGTTTGTTTCATTCACACGTTTAAGTAATCCTTTATTATTAGTCCGTCTACATCTTCAGTATGCTCTGTTTCACCTTGTGATGTCAAAAACTCAGCCTAAATATGAAGGATTTGTGTGTTAAAAGTGTGAATTAAACGAAACACAACACCGGGTATGTTTTTGATGGGGGTACAACATTATAATATAGATCAGAAAATGTGTGATTGCTAAAACTGGCTAAATTGTACAAGTTTTTCAAAGTATTACAGTGTCTATTCACTCATCCCCTGTGGGTTTAACTCACAGATGCCAACAACCTCTTCAGCCACCACCAATCACACTATGCTACATTTGGCAAGATGGGTTAAATGTCTTGCCTAAGGACTTAAAGCCTGTATAAAATGTTGAAAGGAGACTGAACAACAAACCTCTGAGTAATTGGTCCAAATAATAAGATCACATACACATCTGACTGACTGAAGCTAATAAAATGGAAGACAAAAATGACAGACAGAAGTAGATAGTCGTACCCTATTGAAGCGCTTTGCCTGAAAAGCGTGGCCACTCGCATAGTAAAGCTTCCTCCAGCGTCTAGCCCCACGTCGGTATATAGACTCTGAAGAAAGAAAAACAATTGGTTCACAAATTATGAACACTGTGATCATAAATAGTTGATGTCAATACACCAGGATGAAGGCACAGCAAAGTATCAATTAGTTGCTTTTGTTGCAATAAAAAGTTTTTAAAAAAAGCAACTTCCACTTACTGTCTTCTCCTGGACATGGCATTCCAGGCTTCTCTGGGATATTAGGGAACACTGGGGAGAAAAAGTAAATAAATGAATAAATAAATAATATCAAATGTGGCAGGTGCACTGACAGCAGGACCATTTCATTTGATTTTGATTTATGTTTTAAAATAGATTCAGTTCACAGGGTACATTTTAAATACATCCAGGAGCATTAACACTTGTGAGCACGTTGAAATATTCACTGCTAAATTGATACAAGAATCGCATGCATTTTCAGAACATGTTTGTAGAGGTCTAAACTGCAGTCTTAATAGGTTTTACACAGAATAAGATCCCATGGAGATAGGATATTTTGTAGCTTGCAGAACACAATAACAGCCAAACAATTACAGGCTTTGTGATTTGGTAATCTTGACCATTCAAATTGCGATTTCAACTGCGATCAATCTTGCAGCGCTATTTTAGAGTTTTAGCAATTTAGTTCAATACAAGCTCTAGTACTTAGAAAGAGGGGAGGTAAATGGTGGTATTGAGGCTGCTGTTGAGCAGATGGCGCACTGAAGGTGAGCCGCAGCCTGCCTCTCTGCACAGACTTGTTCATTCTTCATTCTTAGAGAGAGATGTTTATCTGCTAATTACTTTGATTCATGCGCTTGAATGGGACTGGAAACTATTCTTCATACGCACCGCTGGATATGCTAAACACAGTGGGAAACCATCATGGATTTTGCTTTCATATTTTTTTACCATTCCGATGTATTTTCTATTTTAATTTATGCTATTTGCATATATAGAGGGATTACATCATTATATTTGTGCTGTTGTCAATTGCCTTAGACAACATTTCATTCTTGCCCATCTAATCAACCCAAATTGTCACACAGCAAAATAGCTTGGCCAAAATGTAAGATACAAACCCTTAAATCTATCAGAAAATGACTTAAAAGTAGTGAAATTATCTGTCCATGCAGCAAGATCATTTTACCTGACAAGTTATCTTCAAGTAAACTACCTCTAGACTAGAATTAAGCAGTCTCTGGTCTAGAAAGTAGAAAATAAATGTGAAAACAAGATGAATAACCTTGATATAAGTTAAAAAATCTTTAAGATCAAAGAAATTTGCATTGCATGGCATTCAGTTTCTCATATAGACATCATTTTGAGGACTTTTCACAATTCAAAAGATATAAGATCGTATTCCGAAATGTTACAACTCTGAAACTTATAGTTATAACTGATGATAATGTATACAATTTTACTGCACATCTATTTTTTAAAAGCCACACTGTGTAACAATTCAGCTCCTACCTAAAAACACTTCGGGTGTCATGTGGTAATACAGAAGTTCTCCACTACAGTTTTTAAACTCCATACACCTTGACTAGAATCATTTGGATAATTTAAGACCTGGAATTGCTGAACTCTACTAAACAAAAGCTAAAAGGCAGATAAGCTGTTGACTTGAAAACTACCACTTCATGACATCACAAGGAGGAACAGAGCTTTGGAGATGTAGACACACTAAATGGTTACTCAAACATGTGTGAATGAAACAAAGCACAACTCCAGGTCTGTTTTTGATGAGGTAACGTCTAACACGGCTTAAGCCTCACAAGAGTCAATTTTGCGCAGTACAGGACCGTTAAAAGTAAGTAAGCTATAATAAATTACCAACTGTCAAATAATCATGACTAAAGTACATTCGAATCACATTTAATTTTTGCTACGCTTTTCACACAAATATCCAAGCAGATACAACATTATAAACTGATATATCAACTTATTTTTCAAAAATAACTTAACAAAGCATTTCTATACTATATTCTTGTTTCTCTAAAGAACTTGCCTTCTTGTAAATTAATGACTGTTTGTATGAAGTTGCCATTGCGCCTGAAATAACCCAGTATTTCAACAGTGCAGTAGAAGTCCGTATTAAAGAGCTGCTTATGTAGACACAGCCTAGACTTGGGGGCATGGTGTGAGTCAGAGTTGAGGCGTGGGCTTAGCGTCGCTGAGCTTGTTAGCGCGCAGATCTGGCAACCCCCTGTAGCACTGTCAACTTCTCTCCTCTCTCCATTCATCTACTGTACACTCTTCTTGACCTTTCACCTTTTTGCATTTGAATACAACTTTACGAACAAGCCACTACATGTCAATCAAATGTTCATATCACCAGGTGAACATTTTGAGGCTACCTTAGTTAAAGTGCTTGATTAGATTGACTAAAGATTATTTGGTTTAATAACCGTGGTAGTAACTGTAAAGTAACTGTGTTAAATATATATATATCTCTACTTATCAGACTAATCATAACTAATGTATAATTTAGACAGGGTTTGGCAGTGACTATATTGCTACGTTAAAAGTTATTTTAATTACCTTTACATGAACTACAATGATATTAAATATGCATGTTGAAATTTGTATGTCACATGCACTTTAAATGAGACCTACTGGATTCACTCAGTGTATTTCATAAAAGGGCTGAGCTGAGAGGAGGAAGTGGTCTAGCCCAGGGGTTTGAATACAGACGTCAGCAGCTGGAGCTCTTTCACAGGTCAGTGCGTCTTTGAGCATATGTTAGTATGAGTGTATTTGATGTACTTGGACAGAATGTGTTTATAAATAAAACTGTTTATTTAGCAAGTCTGTCCTGGAGACTGTCAGCGAACCAGAAGATAATGTGTACAGTCTGGTTTGGAACAACAATTATCAAGGAGGAAAATGACGCGCCGATTAAAGATGTACAGTGTAACTTTTCTTGTGGACAGTGCTACCTGCTTGTCTCCATAGAGATGTTACTGTTTGCTCAGAACGAAGGTCTTCAACAGGGGGGTTGTGGAGGTACTGCGAGGGGGGGTTGCGAAATCTTTGGTTGATTACATTTTTTTTTTATATTTCTTCCTTTTTGAAGGGTGAGGATGAACTGGTTTTCAGTGGGTTCTGGCTGTGTGCTCCTTCATCACATCTGTCTCTCTCTCTTTCTCTTCATTCTCTCATCTCTCGCTCCCTGTCAAACTTCAAACACGTTGGCCCGGATTTTATTGTTTCTTCTAGGCAGCTTTACTTTTACATACAGTGAAACTTAAGCTCCGCACGTACTACAGTGCATCAGGAAGGGGTCGGGCAACTTCTTTCCCTGGGCACATTAACCAGGCTCTGCACTCCACAGTCCACCTCCTCTCTGTCCACAGAGCGACCGGGAGAGGAGGGGGAGCGAACAGTACAGGAGGGGGGGGATTCGTGTCTTTCCTCTCACTCCTCAGATCAGAATGACCAGAAACGTTCTGTGTCCCAAATCAAACTCTTGCCTGTGTGCACGGTGGCTCCTCTCTCGTTTAATCCGATCATTAAAAAAGTCACACTTTGAGCCAATTTTCCGTGATGTCCCCTGCCTAAAAAAACGTTGAAGACCCCTGGCCTAGAATGTTTCAAATTATCAGTCTTCCTGGAGAAAAGCCTGAGACACCACTAGGTCAGATCTGTGCAGAGGCGATGCCACTTACAGTAAGAATGCATATTTTTCAAATGCTAGATAAGATACTTTAAATGCAGACACAAGTAGATGGCAAACTCTCCCACCAGAAAACTTACACAGTACTTCTTCAAAGCCTAAAACAGGTTAAAACGCTGTACTGCAATAACTTTATCATTTTAATTTAATAGACATTTCATCTATAAATCTGTAGTGATAAAATTAATAATTGATCAAACAAATCTGTAAAAAGTAACTATAGTAACTGATTTCTTTTAGATAATTTTATTAACTGTCAAGCACTGAAGCTTTAAAAGCCCTCAGCTTAATATTAGACATCTCTCTGACACTGCTCTCTTTTACTTTAGACCCGTACAGTTATATGGTACTGGTATGTTTAGCATTAGCCCTCACCATGGATAATGAGCTCGGAGTCTTTGTTGAGTTCATAGAGTCGCAGAGCTTCCTCCAGCTCCAGCTGAGATGACACTGTGCACGGGTCACCTGCAGAACACACAGAATCACATCAGAAACACAGACTACGTGTATGATCGAGGCAAGGGCGGAAACACTGTAAAACAACAACTACAAGCATTGAGACTTAGATTTTTCTAGCCGTGTAAATGTGATAACTGGGGTAATCAGATAACCCAATAATTATATGTGATTATTACAAAACACCTGGTGACACGTCTCAGTACAAACACAGAGTACATGTAAAGAAAGCACTAACAACTAACTAACAATAATATCCAAGCCTTTAGAACAGTGTTTCTCAAACTGTGGTATGTGATCTTCTTTTGCCTCTACTCAGACTGTTCTTCAACTTCAGCATTTGCTTTGGAGTCAGTTCTAGCTATATTTTTTCCTTCTTTGAGTAAATTCTTGTTTGTAACTTCTGAAGCAATGGTGTAGTGCTATTTTAGACCTGGTTTAGTCTCGTTATAGATGTGGTTTAGATCTGGTGGTACTCTTTGACATGAAGTTTGAGATCGGCTTTAGAATATTATTTTTTATCACTTTTGGTATGTCAGATGCCCTTCCTGTGGCAGGCAGCTAAAATGTAACTGGAAGGACAAAACATTGAAAACACCGGATTTTAAGCTTTAAAGGATAGACACAAAAAATAAACTAAGGGAAGAAGAATCAAAACTTTTACTCAAGTAAGAATACAGCTACTTCACAAAAAATATTACAGTACAAGTAAAAGTATGCTGTAAGAAAAGTACTCTGAAAAGTAAAATTTCTTTAAAAAGTTACTCAAAGCACACACCACTGAGTAAATAGAACAGAGTACTACAAACCTTTGACCTTCGCACTACTATACATGTTACAATATGTATTTTTTTTGCAATCATACCTCACATGATTAAAAACATTCAGCAAAAGGAAAATTAGTATAATATATTGCACTTTCATTTCGGCCTTCGATTCCCTCTGGATCAAAAGCGCCCAGTTTCAATAAACACACTTGTTACATACTTTGTACAAGAACTTTATATCTTTAACATTTGTAGTCAATAAACAATTACTTTAACAAGAGTTTGAACAAAGAGCGGTTCAGCACACGGCTTCGCTTCAGTGGTACAGTGGTGAAAGTGTGAAAGGTGAGCTGTCCAATAACTACGTGACATTTAAAACTATGTTCGTCTCTGCTCGAGGTGTGAGGGCAATTGTAACATATGAACTTTGAGAGAAAATAGAAAATAAGAGGAAAATGAAACCCCACTCTAATCAATGCTGCCATTTTATGTTGGTTCATTTTATAACCATTTGTGCAATTATTTAGGTCAATGATTAAAATACCACCAGAAAATGCAGCCAATTATCTCTCATCATTAACAAGAAAAGTCAAAAGATTAAAAAGACATAGCTAAGATGGCCTTTCATATCCAATTGCAACAAATATTTATTTTTTTACTTTTTTTGAAATATGGGACAAAAAGTCACAATTATTTTGGATATTTGGAGAAGTTTTGTGGAGCGAAATAAGCACCAACATCTACCCAAACATAATTTAACGGTGTGTGTTAGTGTTTTCATTTATTAATTACAAAGAATTAAAAAATAAAAATAAATAAATAAAATATTAAATCTTTTCAAATTAGCATACTCAAAAAAAGAAAAAGAAAAAAACAAAACAAAAACAAAACAAACAAAAGCTGAAATCATAAGACTTTCTTCATAATGAGGAACAGTTCTAGTTTCATGTGATCAGCCTATTTCTGAAACAGGTGACGACAGTAACCTTTATACTTTTTATTATGATTGACAGAACACTAACTAGACACTAATTTTCCAGGAAAAGTATTTAAGATTATAAAAACACTGGTTGTTTCAAATGATTTCATCTTGTATGATACCTGGGGTTATATTAAAGCTGTATTATATTTTCTCGTAAATGTAGTTTTTCCCACATATGCTTTGCCATTTATAAATACACATATAAGCCACTGTAAATATATTAAACATAACATCTCCATGGAGACTAGCGGCTGGCAGACCCTCCATGAAAAAGGTTACATAGTGCATCTTTTAAAGAATTTATGCAACATGTTAAAAAGCTACTCATACTACAGACAAAACAAACATAAACTTGGTCTGAGCTGTATATTCTCATTATCGTCAGTGTGTACTACTCTGAGCAGCAGGTCACATGTCCACCGTCCCTGTGCTGACCTCTGACCCTGGCCACATCATTACTGTTAGCTCCTGTTGTTTCTGTGCAGGGAGGGCAGGAGGACGGGTGGATTCCTCTAAACGCGGCGCTTCATTAGTGGCATCAGCAGCTTTTATCAGACGGGATAATGACTGGACTAATGATACGTGGGTGCGCGGAGAGAGGGGTGGGGGAGGGGGGGTAAGTGGGTGCGCGGGGGGGCAGGTAAACGAGCGATAATGACTCCGGGGCGGCTGACCTCATCCTGGCAACTCCTGACAAACTGCATCACAACCAGGAAGTGCCAGGGGAGGCCAGCACTTTATACTAGATGTCAAACTTGGTAAGAGTCATCTACCTGAATGAGCATAGTTTTACTGAGTCATTAAAGAAGACCTGTTGTGCTTGTGTCTGCTATGTAGCTACTCTGGATCATTACCATATAATTTGCACATTTTAAATAGAATATTCACCTAAAATGACTTAATAAAAGAAACAAGTCCACTGACATCCGCATTAAAAAACTGCGGCGCTCAATGGAACCTGTCGTAAACGTCATCACAACAAAGAGTTTGCATCTCAGACGGAAAGCTGCAGATCCCTTTAGGAAGCAGCAGATTCTTTTTCATTTGTATCAAAATGACTATGCCATACTGACGAATCCTACGTCTATCACCGATTAAGAAAATAAAATCGGAAAACTAAGTAAGGAGAGAGGAGCGGGCGTACAGTATGCTGTGGTGGTGAAAAAGAGATAAAGCAAAGGGAGGGCAATAAAGAAAACACTTAAACTGCAGAGGAATAGAGGAACCACCAGAAGGAGCTTGTGCACATCTACCTCAGTCTGAAAATGATCATGCAGGGAATTATCTTTCATATCAACACTAAAATTCCCCACTGTGGGACAAATAACAGTTCTTTAATCTTATCTTTCTTGCAAGGAAGTGTTATAGTAATCACCCATTTACATAAATCAACAAGACCGAGCAGGTCAGGTCACACAGTTAGTTTCCTGTTAATGGTTATGGCAAATTCCCTCCACTAAAAACAGCCTGAAAGAAAAAACATGGAGACAAGCCTAGAGAGCTCACAGACTCACCACAGCCCTGTGTCGTTTCTTTTGTATTTTCTTATATATTGTATTATGCATTGTTGGGATTTTAAAACTGTACATGGTTTACAAACACAGGAGCTGCACAGACAGTGTTTGTTATAGATCATCTGTTTCTGTTCAGCCTGTTTTAAACTACAAATTTTATTAGACAATGGCAAACAATTAAATCTTAAAATGACAATGATTGTGCAAGTGTTCAGCTATTTGTAAAGGAGGAAAGTGGGTGTTATTTGTAGATCCAAGGAAAAGCAGTGGGATTCGATAAGCTCTTACCATTCACTTGAGATGTGTTGAAATCAGGGCTTTGGGATTTGGGAAAATATCCAAATGTGATTTTTCTAATAAGCATTGTGATTGCAATTAGATCTGCAGTATTTTAGGATTCTGTTCAAAGTTCAAACTAATATAAGAATCGCATTTCAGAACATGTTTGCACAGATCTAAACTACAGGGTTAGCAGTTTTATGCAGAATAAGACAGGAAAATATTTTGTTCTTTGAAGAGGAAACTATGGTGCTTCAAAAATCGCAATTTAGCAATTGATAATTTGATTGTGATAATCTTGCAGCCCTAGTTGTAATGTACCGGCTGGTGGAAGTTTTATTATTTTTGTATTCTGCTACACAATCAAAATATTATTCAATAGAGCCCTTTAATTTTTTCGATACTAGTACTCAAAAATACCTACTTTTCAATATTTCTTTTTGTTTTTTTATTATTCACCCATAACCACATATGTGAAAATGATCTTCCCTCTCAGATGCAAGTGACAGAGGAGCAGTACCTTCTTCGTCAATCCACTTCATGGTGAAGAGCTGGTCATTGTCCATGGAGCACATGTCTCGCACCTCTCCATACAGACCCTCGAATGAGATGGACGGCTCGAAGTGAGTGATCATGATGTCCCTGAGGAGAGAAAGAGAGAGATAGCAGGGGTTAGGCCTGAGCTAAGGAACAGAAAAATCCCTACAGAATTTATCTATGATCAATATGAAATCAAATCTCAGTGATCAATGAGGAAATGTATGTCGAGAAATGCCATTATCGGTCTGATTGACAATGGTTTACAGATGGCAGCTGAAATGCCTCAACTTCAAAAACATGGTCCAAACAGGTCCAGCAGGTACTAAATCAATACTAAAACTAGTCTTGAAACTTGATTCCCATTTAAACAAGTACTGATACTAAAAAAGAAATCACATAAACAGGACAACTGATAATGTCAAAGTATGACACAACATGGTAACATGAAAAAAGACTGTTGAAAAAAGCATTCTTTATTACCTTTGAAACCCGAAGTGCTGTCACAATACACATATTTCAAACACAATTTCAATAGTAAGAGACTTGATACTCAATTAATGATTTCCTTACCACAATGACAGTTAAAAATAATCTTATTTAGACAATAGAATGTTATTTTTAACATTAAATTATAATATTTTCTTTTATATTACAATGTGGCCTTATATTTGTGTAATCACTGAGTCGTCCAAGTAGGTTCCATAGTGGTCCATGGGTGTATACTTCTATCTGTGTAGTCTTGTACTTGTTCTAATACAACTCAAGATCATTCTAAATCTATTCAGGAAAGGTTTGTTTAACTTTTTTAGTACTGATACTTGCTCAAATGAGTATCTAGAATCAATATTAGCTTTAGCATCAATCAGTATTTGATTTTTAATACTTTTAACAACCGTAATAATGACAACGCCATGTCAAGACAACCATCTTTGAAACCTGATTTTTGACATGCTGGTATAGCCCACATCTATCTAAAAGTATAATTGACAGCAGAGGATTTCCGGTAGCAGTAGTTCCTTATTAAAGGTTTTGTACAACACAGCCTTAACACAGTCCGTTACTAGCAGTCCTGAACAAAGGGAGCTCTTCAGAAAAAAGGAGAGAGAAAAATAGTGTGTTTTTTCCTCAAACGCTGCTGCAGTGAGTCACAGTCTGCCAGTCTGTCACATCCTGAGAGCATTCAGCGTCACTGCTGTTCTGGAGGAGGTAGACAACAGATAGAGAGAGGGAGAGGGAGAGAAAAGAGGTGAGGTGGGGTTAGAGAGATGAAGGGAGAGAGAGAAGTAGAAGCAGATGAGAGAAAGGGAGAGTGTAAGAGAAGATGTAGGGGTGATATGTAGGGGTGATAAAGAAAGGAGTGGAGAGAACATACTGATCCAATACTGGTATCGGATTTGGGTTCTGATAAGCAAAAAATGTGTTATTTCAAATCGCCTTCCAGGTATTAGTTCAGTCGATATCCTGGTTGGACATATTAACATAAAAAGACTCTTTAATGGTCATAGTCAGCCTAAAAAGTCTCATAATTTTTACTTAGACAAAGCTAAATAACAGCTGTAACACATTTGGAGCCATAGTGTCAAAATCTGTAAAATTTGAAAAAGCTGGATCAGTGCATCCCTACCGAAGAGTGGGAGAGAGGACAGATAAGAAGAGAAGTGATGAGAGAGAGTGAAGAAGAAAAGGTGAAGGGGGACAGAGAGAGGAGAGATAGAGAGAAAAACAAACAAACACCTGACTAGCTCATCATAACCTTTTTATCACTGTGGGTTTTTAGGTTTCAAAATGAGATGAGCAAAGGGCCCAATCCAGAAAACATCACACAACTCAATCAGTAAGGCAGAGTGAACACAGAGTAATGCAATTTCAAACACGGACAATTACCGTAAACAGAAACCATCATAGATCAGCAGCAATTATAATTTATGAAGCCCAGTGGACGGTGGACTTAACAGGATTCTAATCAGGCGTAAACTAGACTTATTTCATGACAAGTGCATTTGAGGTGGGCTACATGAAGGAATAAGAATCTAGGTATTTTTGGGGAGTTATTCTGATGACTGTTTTTTTTATTTTTTATTTTAGCTTGTGCATGGAAATATTGAGGACCTAAGTGGATACATTTCAACTGATGTTCACAATCCATAGAGTACCATTCAAGTAACATAAATATTTAGTTTGAATTGTTTATTGCTATGACAACAGTAAAAATCAGTAGGTAGTTAAATGCATTAATATCGCTGTCAAAAATATATGCATTGGAGATAGATACTTGATGAAAGCATGACTACACAGTTCTCCTTCTGGTATGTGGTAAAAAGGGCTGTGGGTGAGTGCGCAGTAGATTTAAATGACAGAAAATAATTAAAGGAAAATAATTAAAATCGGCCCAAAAATGGTTTCTCTGAATTCTAAACAATTCGGCCATGACACAAAAAAAAACAAACAAACAAACAAAAAAACATATGAGCAGATCACTAATATGCATTCCTCAAGTGAAAAATACTAGTTTCCAACAGAGTAAACAATGTAGACAACATTCTCCAATGGTGAATTCAGTCCAAGGGCATTCCAGTGTACAAGGCCATAGGAGTCAGAACAGGCCCAGAGCCACTAGTGCACCAGACTGACACTAAAGTACTATACAGGCTGCAGTTGTATGGGAGATGACAAATGGAGAGTGCAGAGAGTGAAAGTGGAATAAAATAAAACTATGAAAACTAGACATTGGTTGTGTTCAAGTTTGATGACATCAAAATCTTGGAGGGACAGCAGGGGAGAAAAATATAAGAATAGCTGAAATCTTACATCTGATCTGATTATTTTGTAAGGGTTTCATTCAATTAACATCCTAATACAGAGGTCTCAAACTTGTGTCCTGCGGGCCAAATGAGGCCCCTGAGATCCTTTCTACTGGCTCACAAGATAATTTCTAATTTCTATAAATAGTGGCACACCAATAAAATGCATAAATGCGTAAGGCTACAGTCATGAGCTAAGGCTACAGCAGATGGTTGAAAATACATCTGAACTGAAAACAACACAGGGGCATTCAGAGGCACTAAAGTCTAAATATACTGATGTGCATGGGGATATTTGGAAATAATAAAACACACAACCCTTTAGCATTCATCACCATTTATGTCATAATGAAGGAGCATCAGTCACTAAAATGTAGTTATTTTAAAACCAATGATAGTGATTTGTCAGTTGCTCATCCTAATAGAAAAAAATATATATCTATGTTTAGTAATATGTACAATTTACGCACATACAATACAAGTATTTTCCATATACATGAATGTAGATGACCATAAATGCTGACCTAACCCTAACAGATGGAAAGTGATTTTTGTTAAATCAACATTATAATTGTATTGTTTTATTAATAGTTAGATAGTTCATTTCTAACAGTGATCATCATTTTGCAAACCCTTGATCATCATGGAGACGGTAAGATTCCATGAATTTGCATAGACATTTCTGATTGGCTGTGACCAGGCAGCTCGGACACTTTCTCCTCAAAGACCAGGCACCTCCTACCCACCTATACATTAGAGGATGATGCCCACCTCTACAACGAGGACTTCGACCTAGAGGCTCTGCTCTGAACCAAACCATCAGGGGGCGTTCAGAAGCCAGCGGAGACCCAGGTGTTTGCCAACATCCAGGACTCCTCAAACCCTGAGGTCCAGTCCAGGAACTAACGCCCTTGGAGGACAGCGCTCTGGTCAGAGAGCTGCGTAAAGAGTTGGACCGGACAAGGGCCAAGCTTGCTGATCAAGTCCAAAGAAACTTTGTTTTGGACTGCAAGCTTAAAAAGGAGGAGAAGATGGCCAATGAAAAGGCCTTGGAGTTCACTAATACTCTTAAGAAGACGGACAAAGAATTCCAAGACTTATTTACTGCACATAAGGACATCCGGTACCTGTCAGGGAAAAGACAAATGAAAAAGACTTGGAGTTAAAAGAGCTCAAAGCTAATCTCCTGAAAAAAGAGTAAGAGCTTGAAAACCAAATTTGTGTGCATAAGGAGATAAGGTACCTGTATAACAAGAGTGTCAAGCTCAAAACAAGAGCTGGACAACACCAGGAAAGCCTATGAATGTTGAAAGAAAAACTTCAAGAACTGACAATGAAGACTCAAACCACTCTAAAGACTGGTAATGATGTTGAGAAACTGTCCAGGAAGGTGCAGGAGCCCTTTTCTGAACCCTTCACAGCACAAGGGAAACTGCATTTCCTAAAGTTTCACTGTGAAGGTCAAAGGTCACAGCGATCCAGCCACCCAAAAGCGGCTGTAGTGGAGGAGCAGAGGAGGGGGTCCAGGCGTCAACCATGCTAGAGCACCTCCAACCATTACCCTAGCATTAATAAAAATTTAAAAAATATTTAAATGTGTGCTTTGACCTTTATTTAGTACTTACTCATGTTTATTGATTTTTTTCCCCAGTGTTTAATTCAAAGCCAGCCACATAGCATACTGCGGTGCCTTGTTATTTATGCAGAAATGTGTAATGTGAATGTACAAAAATATAATATAATACATGGTAAAAGAAAGCAAAAGATTAAAATGGCAAAGTGAAGGCTTGTTTTTTCCCCTCTAAATTATGAGTTATTGCTTGTTGGAATCAAATATAATGAGAGAGAGAGGTAGGGCTAAACAATATATCTTAAACATACTGATATTGCAAATAATCAATAATGAAAAAATAAAAATACAATGCAAAGTTCTCCATATGAAAAGAAGTGAGAGGTTTGAAAGTAGATGCAAAAATGGCAGATTTTTTCACAATTTCCTTATTGCATACTCCTTTAACCCAGTTTGATTTTGGTATTAGTTTTAATTTTGCTTTGTGTATTGTGTCAAAAATGTATCAGACTACATTGCATTCAAGTTTATTTTGTGTTAGGCTGCACGATAGTTTGGTGGTCATATATAATACATCATATAATATGCGGCCCCCGACCAATGCTGATTTTATAACTTCGGCCCCTGCTCCAACTGAGTTCGAGAGCCCTGTGCTAACAGAAAAGACAAACTCATTTAGTCAGTTTAAATTCACTTTTGATTTCTCAGCCCTAGCTCAGCTCCAACTGTGT